GCACAGATCAGGTTTCATGACAAAGCATTTGAGTATTCTTTTGATCTTTTGGTTACAACCTGAAAAACCTTCCAACTAGATCAGAGATCAGAGCTCATTTTTTTTAACATTTTTTTACTGAATTATAGTCATTTTACAATGTGTCAAATTCCACTGTAGAGCACAATTTTTCAGTTATACATGAACATACATATATTCATTGTCACATTTTTTTTCACTGTGAGCTACCACAAGATTTTGTATATATTTCCCTGTGCTATACAGTATAATCTTGTTTATCTATTCTACATATGCCTGTCAGTATCTACAAATTTGGAAATCCCAGTCTGTCCCTTCCCACCCCCTGCCCCCTTGGCAACCAGAAGTTTGTATTCTGTGTCAATGAGTCTGTTGCTGTTTTGTATTTATGTTCTTTTTTTTAAGATTCCACATATAAGCTATCTCATACGGTATTTTTCTTTCTCTTTCTGGCTTACTTCACTTAGAATGACATTCTCCAGGAACATCCATGTTGCTGCAAGTGGTGTTATGTTGTCGGTTTTATGGTTGAATTTTATTCCATTGTATAAATATACCACCTCTTCTTTATCCAGTCATCTGTTGATGGACATTTAGGCTGTTTCCATGTCTTGGCTATTGTATATAGTGCTGCTATGAACATTGGGGTGCGAGTGTCATTTTGAAGTAGGGTTCGAATATATGCCCAGGAGCGGATTCCTGGGTCATATGGTAAGTCTATTCCTCGTCTTTTGAGGAATCTCCATGCTGTTTTCCACAGTGGCTGCACCAAACTGCATTCCCACCAGCAGTGTAGGAGGGTTCCCTTTTCTCCACAGCCTCTCCAGCATTTGTCGTTTTTGGACTTTTGAATGATGGCCATTCTGACTGGTGTGAGGTGATACCTCATTGTAGTTTTGATTTACATTTCTCTGGTAATTAGTGATATTGAGCATTTTTTCATGTGCCTATTGATCATTTGTATTTCTTCCTTGGAGAACTGCTTGCTTAAGTCTTTTGCCCATTTTCAGATTGGGTTTTTTTTTTTCTTATTAAGTCGTATACAGAGCTCATTTTTTAAATCCAGAAACGGATATTATTTTATTTGTATCTCATTTGATTTCCTTGAGAATCTACTTAAGTAAAATTTCACTATCTACCAATAATAATCATAAAGCTGATTTCAAGAGCTGGAATGTCTATCAAGATGTTCTAACTAATATATTCCCCTAATTTCACAGAAAGTAATTAAACAATTCAAGCTCACCCAGCTCCCAAAGATTGAACCAAGATTTAAGTCTTCTGATTCCCATTCCAGTATGGGATCAGGTGTTCAATTAGTTAGTTGTGTTTATGGTCCAATTGCTATGGGGCAGGGCCCCACACTGGCACTGGAGGATGCACTCGTGAATGAAACATACATGTTTCCTGGCTTTGATGCAGGAAAATGGATGTGTGGCATGAGGAGGGCCATATCCCAGGTCTCGGGTGAGCCCCCGGAACGTGCTCCACCAAGTGTGGGTCTTTGGCTTCACACAGGAAAGAATTCAAATGCGAGCCACCGTTGAGTAAAGGTAGATTTATTTAGAGAGATACACACTGCATAGTGTAAGGCGAGAGAAAGGCAAGGAAAGGGGTGTGGGAATTGGGTGCTCAGGTTAAAGTAAAAGTAGGTACACACTCCACAGACAGAGTGCAGGCCGTCTCCAAAGGGAAGAAACCCAAAAAAGGGCCACTAGGCGTGGTGTTGCCAGTTTTATGGGCTCAGTAGCTTCACACACCTGGGATCAGGCCACCACCCATTCTTTGGCCTTTTGCCATTACCCTTGGGACTGTCATGGTGCCTGCGGGCATGTTATTTATCAGGCCATTACAATGAGCATATAAGGAAGCTCAAGGTCGACTAGAAGTCAAATCTCTTAATCCTCAAGGCCAACTAGGAGGTGAATCTTCCATTTTGGTATTAAACTGCTGTCATTCCTAGAGGGACTGTGCCCTGCCCTCTTCCATCCTGTCTCAGCTTGATGGAGCTTAAAGTCTGGTGGCAGGGGCTGACAATAAAACAAGTAAACAAGCATTCAAGTAAGAAATAAAAGGATAATGGGAATTTTTGAGAGCTAACATGAAGGAAACGAATGAGGTAAAAGTCACGGAGAATAACTGGATTAGGGGAAGATACTTGGGCAATTACTTAAAGGTCAAAGAAAGCCACTCTGAGAAGGTGGCATTTAGGCAGAGCTGAGAAGGACCCAAGTTGGGGAGAGAGAGGCATGAGAAGTTGTGAGCAGTACATTTCAAACAGAGGGTTAGAAGTGAGTTTTGCCTGTTAGAGGCAGTGAAGGGAGGCCAGGGCAGCTGCCTGCAAGTGGAGCGAGAACAGCAGTTTAAGATGAGGCTGCAGAGGAAAGCAGTCAAGTCAAGTAAAGGTCCGGGAGGCTTTAAACCATACTCTATTCAAAGTGCTTCAGGAAACCCAGAAGGATTGTACTTACAGGAATGACCTGGTCCAATCTACGTTTTTAAAGATTACTTTGACTTTAATGGACAGAGCGTGGAGCAAAGGCAGACATGTTTGTATTACACTAACTTTGGTAAGAAAAGAAAGCTAGCTTCTCCCAGGCATGGAAAATATGTTGCCTATGGGAATACTGGCAACTTAGTTACTTTTATTAGGTCATTCTGATTGAGAGTTAGTTGCCACTACATCTTTTGATTATTGTTATTGTGAAATTGTTCAAGGCTGCTAACTGAATATTCAGTACTTAGAAAGAAGAAAGTTGATCTCTGTCTATATGAAGCTAGGCAAGAAGAAATACAGGCCAAGGGCAAGAGAGTAGGAAAGCATATTAATATAGATAACAGTGAAACTTTTATTTTGGGACTGTAGTAAGTTCTAAAGCTCTCTTCCTCCTTCTCCCTGTGCATGAATGCCTTAAACCCATCCATCTCTGGTGCTACAGCCAGATCTCAAAAAAAAAAAAAAAAAAATCCTGGGTTTTTTTTTTAATATGACCAGCACTTAAAATCTGCATTTGAACTTCTGTAACATTCTGTAATGTTCTAGGAGCAATGGGACCCAAAGTCTTCGAAATATTTCTGAAGTTTCTGACCAGATGTGTTGCCTTGGAGTGTGGGATAAGGGATGTATTTCAGAAAAACTGGTAAACAATTATAAATCTCAACTCCAGATTATCAGACATCAGAACTGGAAGGAGTCTCCCAGATCTATTAATCCAACTCCCTCATTTTACAGGTGAGGAAACTGAGACTCAGAGAGGCCAAGGTCAGGAGCTGGTGGGTGGCAGCGCTCAGTCTGAACACACCTTCTTCCAGGATCTCAAGACCTCTCCTCAAGAGCGCTTCCTTTACTTCCTTTAAAGGAAATCAGCCAAGGAAGCGGCCACCTCATCCAACGTTGAAATTACAAGCTGAGCAATCCCTCAAAAATAGAATAGAAAGAAAACCCAGAGGACCAGAGAGAGATTCTCATTTGCTCAAGCTCTACTGTGTGTCAGAGTTATTAGTGCCACAGAGATACATAAAGCTCCTATTTGAAATGATTAGAGAAAAATTAGCTGTTCTTCTAGAGAGTATTGATCACGTATGCTAAAAGAGTTCAGGAAAAAAAAAAAAAAACTAGAGACAGATTAGTGGTCAGGACCAGGAAAGAAATCCTGGGTGGGAGAATCAGTATAAGGAGATAGGGACAGACAAAGCTTCTACATGTAGCAAAATAGGAAGTAGTGAGGAATAAGGTATGAGAGGAGCAAGATCAAGGTGGGCCTTGGAGGTCAGGTAGCAAGGTTTGATCAGTGCACAAGACTTGGGCGACCAGAGAACATACATATTAAATAAATATCTGGAATACTGGGGGAAAAATATTGGTACCTCTGAAAGGAGAGATGATAAAAAACAGGAACAAGTTGTGTAAAATGTAATCTGTGAATGAGTACTGACTGTTTACTGAGCCTTGCACTGTGCAAGGATTAGGCAAGAAAAGACTGGCCAACGGCCAAATAAAGTATGACACATCTAGCCAGTGGAACAGCATGGCAGCCTTAAAAAGAACATGGTAGCTCTTGATGGTACTCTATGGAACAATCTCCATGTGTGAGTGCTAAGTAAAAAAAGCAAGGAGCAGAAGAAGCATATATGATGTGCTACTTCCAAAGAGGAGGAGTCATACAGTTTTGTATTTACATAGACAAGCTCTGGATGTATATACAAAACACTAGTCCCAGGAGTTGCCTCATGGGAGAAAAAGAGGATGAGGAAGGAATAAAAAAAGAATTTTTACTGTACACTCTTATGATCCTTTTGTCTCTTATATTAGATGAACATATTGCCTACTCAAAAGTAATTTTTAGGTGGGGAGGGTATAGCTCAAGTGATAGAGTGAATGTTTAGCATGCACAAGGTCCTAGGTTCAATCCCCAGTACCTCCATTGAAAAACTAAATAAATAAACCTAATTACCTACCCCTTGCAAAAAAAAAAAAGTAAACTTTCAGAGATGTAAAAATAAAATTCAGTTCTTCTTTGGAAGTCTCACCAGTTCATGTCACAGATCCTGTATTCTCATTTCACCTGTTTCAAAATATAAACTTAACCTCTCCAGATGTACCTTTCCTGCATCTAGACTCAAGAGGAGTAGTTGATGTATCTCTCCCGCCTTGGCTGCCCTCAGCAGCAACTGAGCAATGAAAAAGGAGAAAATGAGGTCCTTTGGCCCAGGTATTCTTATCCACTTGAACTGCCCTCCTTCCACCTTCAACACTATCTGATACCCATGACTCTTATTGAAACTGCCTCCTACAGGACAGAGACATTTTCTTAAGCTGAGGAAGATGAAGGAATTAAAAAAAAAAAACAGGGAGGAGGAGGAGGAGAAGTTCGGTCACATGTGTTTTGCCAGCCCTGGATTGAACTGCATATTTCCTCTTAGCTTTCAGGAGATGTCCTTTCGCAAGAAAGATGTTTTTACCTTCAGTCAAAATGAACCCAAACCTTTTCTCTTATCACGTGCCTGGCCTGAGCCAGTCAGCTGCTCTGTAACATGATCACCTCAGCCAGCCTCCCAGCTCACCGGGTAACCGCGGGGTGAGGCAGCAGCTGGCGACAGCATCCACCAAGGAAGGAGCTGAAGGAAGAGAAAGCAGGCTTGAGCCGCGGCCGGGACCTTGGAGGAGCTGGGAAACAGCCCACTGCAGAGGTGAGCGGGAGCTGCTGGGTGGGAAGCTGGTCGCCAAAGTCAGGATGCACCCAAGTTCGCTTAAAGAAAGGCAAAGCGCATCCTTCTCACCTCCGCCACCTCTCTGCCCTCTCCACTTACAGTACAGGTGTGTTTTGCCTCTCATCATTGTCCTGGGACGTTTCCTTAGTACACAGAATCCCCTGCATGTCTCGCTAATGTCTGTATCCTCTGCCTGCGTTTGTACCATCTACTTCCTGTATAGTCTTGTTTTTCTAGCAATAAATAGGTAATTGTGTTAACCGCACAGGATTTGGCTTCAAAACCATGTGAAGGAGAAACTCCCATGTCAGAATTCAGAAGAGCAAAATCCATCTGGAAGAGACTGCCAGGAAACAAATGAGGCTGAATTGCTTCTCCTCTCTCATCTGCCAGGGTCACCTGGAAGGGATGGGACCAATTACAACAGGCTTAAAATTGCAAAGGCCTAAGACAGATGTGTGGGCTAGGAACTGGACAGACATCTCAAAGCTGTTTTGATGCACCATACTGGGACTTATCAACAGAGGCTCCAGTCTTAGACTTGCTAGTGTCCTGGTAGTCCCGCTGGAAGAATTCCAGCAGAGGGCACTGGAGAGAGGGATAGTCAATGTGTATAGATGGGGGTGAACAATGAGCCAGTGGTTATCAGGGCACTCATTCAGCTCCTTCGGGGCTTAAGGTAAACAAGACAAGGTACAGACTTCTAGGTTGCTTCAGTTTCAGGTGCAGTTCCGACTAAATTTCTCTAGATATAAAGATTCGATTCAATTTGGTAAAACATACTTTGAGCATTAGCTTCTGACCTTAGAAAGGAGAGTCTGCAGTACAGGGAAAGGTGCTGAAATGTCCAAGAGCAAATGCTGGACACATTCTGAGGGCAAAGAACAACACTTTTTATTCTTTTCCCCTTCCTTGGTTTACCTGACTGCCTGCTACGTGCCAGGCTTGTGTTTGGTGCCAGGGGTCTCATAAAACAGGCGGGCCTTCACCCTGCGGGCATGCGTTCACGCGGCACAGCAAATCACAAAGGTTTTAAGGACCCCCGGCAAAAGCAGTGAAGGGAGCACTACTGAAACTACCCAAAGGGAGTCATTTTTGTCTGAGTTTAACCTTTTCTCTCATGCATTTTATCTTCTTGGATGAACATCGTTTCTCTCTATAAAAGCCTCACTTCCATACAGACCTTGGTCATAGCAGCTCCTGAAAACCCTCTTCACCAAGACTTCAAGCTGTGTGATTACATTTCAGGACAGTCTCCTCAGCCCTGGAGGCAGATGGCTCAGCTTCTCCCAAGAACACAAACAGCTGGAGAGCAGAGGCTGGCGTAATGGGAGTTGTAGTCCTCAGGAGAGCAGCCCCCTCCCCGTCATTTCCCACTTAGGAAATAGAATTTGTGCTTTTCCAAAAACACATGTGGCACAAGAAAAAGTGTTAGGAAGCCTGGATTTTGCCAGAAACTGTGTGGAGTTTGGAACAAGTCAGTTCTGCTATCTAGGCCTACCTCCTTAGCTATAAAATGGAAGAGGGAGATCAGATGATCTTTGAGGTTCTTTTTTTTTTTTTTAGTTCTAATAATTTCACAAGATATTTACACAGGAACCATGCACATTTATATAAAGATGATATATCTTAACACCTATAAAATCGGAAACTTCATCAACCATCGAGCATATCCAGGAACCCAGAATCTGAAAGAATCAGGCTGCAGGCAAATAAAATTTAAAATTAAACTGTCTGCTTCTCCCACCCCTATCCCATTCCCCTGCCCTGTATTCAGATTTTTGAGGTCATGAACATCACCTATGGCTTCACTGTGTCATTTACCTAGATTGGGGATTCTGCAATAAAAAGCCTGCACAGTCAAAATCATCTGCTTTCAGAAGAACCACCCTTAAAAGTATCCAATTTGGCTAATCTCACAATATATATCAAATTCCCTTTAAGAAGGAATCAGTTCATTGTTATAAAGGATTAGAATATTTACTTTAAGTGTATTTCATTTCCTTCTCTTCTCTGAATGCATTCTCATAGTAAATGCTAGTCCCTATTCTCTTCCTATATACTTTCTCATTGGAAAATCAAAGTTACATAGTACTACTTTAATAAACAGGGCCAAGAAGCATGCCTTATACATCTTGGTATCCCCTGTGGCTAGCATTGTATCTGGCACACAATAAATGTTTCTTTTTTCTTTTTATTTTTTACAGGGGGGAGGTAATTAGTTTTATTTATTTTGTTAGTTTTTCAATGGAGGCACTGGGGATTGAACCCAGGACCTCGTGCATGCTGAGCACATGCTTTACCACTTGAACTATACCTCGCCCCACAATAACTATTTCTTGAAAGAATGATTAATATCTTAGAAAAAGACATGCTCTATTTTGCCTTTTGTATTAAAAAACAAAACAAACAAAAACCACACACACACACACACACACACACACACACAAAATATCCAATCCATTATTTGTGGCTAATAGAAGCTGATCTCATGCCTTTGTGTCTCTGCAATCTGAATGCCCAGTCCTGTATTTACTGACATCAGTGCAGTCTGTACTTTTTGCAGACTCAACTGGTGTAAGAGCACTGAATTCAAGTTCTCCCACTAAGTAGCTGTATAATTTGAAGCTGAATAGTGAATATTTCTATGCCTCCATTTCTTCAAATTGAAAATGTGAGCATCAGAATAGATGAGCTTAAGACATCTTCTAGTTCTGAGATGGGAGACTTCAAAAGGTAGAAAAAAGAGAGAAGCAGCACCATAAAAATGTAATGATTATAGAACCTTAACATATTACATATTTAATCATTGTTATTTGCCGTATTTTATTTGCCAAAATTTCTAACTTGAGCACTACCACTGGCAAACAATGTTAAGGAACTTCTTTGGGTGAAGACACATCTGTCCACTATATTTGAGGTCTCCCCTAGAAACTTTCTGACTCGGTTCAGTAAAAATTCAAAACAAGTCTACAGACATAGAGGGGCACAGAAAACAAGCTGCTTTGGCATAAAATATTCAGAAGAATGATACGGTTGTGTAGCTTAGAGGAGTCAGCTATCTAGATAAACATCTCGGGACATAGCACATGGGCTTACTGGCTCAGCCAAAGAACAAAAGGTATATTAAGTAATACTTCGTTGCTTCTAATGAAATCAGAGGTCAAGCAATAATACTATGACTCATACAGTTAAAGGGGCCTTCCCACCACTGGAAGATACAGTCACTTTCCCTTTGGCCAGAAGGCTTATGTGGAGCAAAGGGTTCCAAGTTTAAACTTATATATCAGCCCTTAATCACTCAGTCCCAGGAACACGAGAAGGAGGGGGAGACTCAGAAAAATTTATCCTGTCATACATTCAAGTGGAAATCTCAAACATATTCCTAATTATTCTCCTTCTAGCCAGATCTTGTTTGTATTTTAAAAGGCATTCATGCATGGCATTCCTATCTGTTTACTTTTCCACAGAGCTGTTCATTGGTTTCAGAAAAACCATGGTCCTTGTTTTGAAACTAACCAACAAACAAATAACAAAGAATACAAAACTGAACCAACTCAAGTTAGAACTACTCTTTAAATCCTGGTTAAATCATTCTTTTCTCTTACAGCAACAACTCTTTTTTTTTTTTAAGCAACTCTTTAATTACTGGGGGGAAATGAAGAGGTAATGAGGAGGTAATAATTAAGTTTTTTTAAAGGCTTATAATGTGTTCTAAGCATTGCTAGACCTAGCGCCACTCGTCCCCTCTCCTCCACTACTTTTCTTCCTTTCTGGTGTTTTCCTGGCTAGTCCTGCTTATTTGTTTCTTCACTTAAATTTTAGAATGAGTTTGCCTGATTCCAGGAACAGCCACAAGCCAACAAATCTGTTGGTGTTTGAACTGAGATAACTCTGAATTTCTAACTTAATTTAAGGAAAACTACTGTCCTTATGATGCCGAGTCTTTCCGGCCAGTTATGTGGTGTGTCTTCCTGTTTGCTCATGTCCACTTTTGTGTCCTTCAGGAACGGGAACATTTTCCTCATCTAGGTTTTGCACATTTCTTGTTAAAGTTACTGAGTATTTTGTTGTTGTCTCATCCGTTATTTCTTCTAACTAGTTACATATACATATAGGTTATTGATTTCTGAACCTCCATCTTACATCTTACCAGCTAATTCACTTCTCTTACTGTTGTGTTAGTTTTACAATGGATTCTCATGGGTTTTCCTGATATACAATCATAGTATCTAAAAATAATAATAGTTTTACCTCTTCTTTCCCAATTCTTTACCTGGACTTATTTTCTTTTGTCTAAGTGCCCAATTATCTTAACACCTGACTCCATGTTAAAAGTAGTGGTGATGGTGAGCATAATTCTCTTGTCCTGGACTTTAACAGGCATGTGCTATCTTAAATTTTAACCCCAACTCCAGGCCCAGTTCCTCTCCATCCCCATCCTGGACCCCTTCTTAAAAGCCGTTCCCTCCCCAGTCACTGGGCTTCATCCACTATCCTGTATTGCTAGATTTGGTCCCAAGTGTCCCGGTCCTGTACTGCCCTGTGAGCCCCAGTGTATCCACTCGGGGCCACAGGGCCTTCCACAGAGAAGGACCCCAGCCAGTCATCCTTGGTTGATTACAATAGGTGCATTAATTTCATCATGTTGGTAATACCTCCCTCAGTTTTGGAGACTTCGGGAAGAACCTGTCCTGAACAATCCAAACTTCCAGCTTCTGTTTTCTGCCAAGAAGGAGTGGGAGTTGGGAGTAGGTGAGGACATTTTCAAGAGCCAGCTCCTGCCCCCTGCACCTCCAGTGACGGCCAGTTCTCATCTCACTCTGCCCTCGTTACCTTTACCCACCCACAGTGCACTGCCTAATCAGCCTGGGCAGGCAGTGAAGCCCCTCCTTCCCACTGCCAAGGCACTCGGCCAACCCCCAAGGGCAAACGGCTGCCAGACTCCAGGGAGGCTCACAACCACCTCAGAATGAGTCTAAAACCCGTTTCTGAGGCTCCATACAGAGAGATTCTGACTTGGAGAGTAGCCTGGAAATCTGGCTTGCAGCCAGCCCCTAAGTGACTCCAATGCAGGGGTTCCTGAGGCACATCTGGGGAAAACACGGGCCGATGAACCACACCCTCTGCTTGATTCATCTGCTGCACATATGCTAAGCAGATACCGTGTGAAGGCCCCAGGAAGGATACACAGGGAGCCTGCGCTTATGACATTTACTGCCTCCCAGCAGAGACCGCAGGAGTGGCAGACACTTTCTCCCCATTTTCCTCTCAGGAAACTGTCCTTGGAGAGGACAATCTGACCAAGATCACATGACTAGTAAGTGACTGACGCAACTGACATGTGACCTTGAGAAAGGTGTCAGATTCCAAGGTTCACTGTCCCAATGATTTCTGTATATAAATATCTTTTGAATCACGTTGAGCAGTTTACGAAATGCTTAAATTTCGGTCAGCATTACAAATCCAGCCCATGTGTGTGGTACTCTTGACTTCACAGAGGTTAAGGAGGCTGTCCAAGCGAGTCTCAGGCAGGACCCTGGATCCTTGAGGCCATGTGAGGTTGGCACTTAGAGTACAGTGGGGGTTCAGAGGACAGAGACTTCTTCTGAATGAGATGGGATTGTACTGAGGCGGAGAGTGAAGCTATTCAAAAAAAGGAATCCTCATAGCCCATCTCTTAGAAAGTCAACCAAAGTACGACTGCCAAGCCCCCTCAGTCATGTTACTGATGCCCAGATCAGTTCAGTCTCTGGAGGTGGCACCCACCAAAGGCTGGGTTTTTTCTTTGTTTTCAGTTTGTTTTGCTTTTGAATTTGGTTAACTCCCAGGTGATTCTATTGAGAAGTCAGCAATAAAAATCACAGCTAGCCCACCACAGCCAAGACATGGAAACAACCTAAATGTTCATTGACAGATGGGTGGATAAAGAAGATGTGGTGTGTGTGTGTGTGTGTGTGTGTGTATATATATATATATATATATATATATATATATATATATATATATATATATATATAGTGTGTTTGTATATATATATATATATATATACTAACACAACACAACTAACGTAAACTAAACTAACTAAACTA